TGAAAAACGGGACCTGTGAAATGAAGGGAAGCTTGATCACAATCCCCTGATTTCTGTGGTCCCTCAATTTCTAAGGCTCCTTTTTAATCTATGACATCTCATCTCTTCTAGGGAGGGGGTGTCTAGGCGGTTAGAGCAACCAGACCTCCTGATTTCCCCGGGCAGTGTCTGTTTATGCTCGCTGCCCCAGCCTAATTAACAATGCCCTCTTTGGCTGTCAAAAATAACCCTGTTTGGATGATAAATTATATGCTCCCTCAGTCACTGGGGCCTAGTGATGGGCCTAAAGCCACCTCGGGAGCCAGAATGTGGCCAGTCCCTTGTGCAGCAATGGCTTTCTGGACTGGTAGCCATCTGTGGTTGGTTATTTCCTCAGGCCAACTGCTCAGGTGCTGTGGAGCCATGTGTCCTGCAGGTGTCCAGCGTCACCTTGGTTCACTCTGTCAGAACCAGGAGCTTCTGCCCCCCCAGGGCCTTAGTTTGACAGGCTCTGCTGTAACGTAACTTAACCTGGGAGACCCCTGATGACCCTCTCTTCCCCCAAACACACATCCTCCCCACCCTTGGCACCTAGAAAGGGTCGCTTTCAGTTTCAAGGCCCCCTTCTTCCCACCAGCCTTCAGCGGTGGCCCGAATGTACACCACAGCACTATTATTAGGTGGCAGCATCAAAAACTGGAACAGCAGTCCCTAGTAGCCCTTTGATCCCCGAGCGGAGGAGAGAATCGCCGGAAGGGACAGCCCGGCCTAGGGTTAGACGGTCCAGCTCTTTCCTCCGGGCTCCGGAGGCCTGCGAGCCAGCAGGAAGGAGCTGAGTTATTCTTAGCCAAGGTGTGGGAGCCTGGCAGGAGCCACAGGCACTGCCCCAAGGGTCAGAGACAGGAATTGCCACCCACTCTGGCTGCTTCCCTTGTCTCCCTTGGCTGCCCCTCACACAAGGAAATCACCACACTCCCCTCACCCAGCCGCAGACCACCCCCTCCGTCCCCTCAGCAGCAAACATGGCTCAGCCTCCCTCTTAGACGTCAGTTTGTGGGTACAGTTAGGGCTGGGAGGTGCCTTAGCAGCCGCCTCAGTTCCTTCATGGAACACTATCATTCTATGGGACTGAGCCCAGAGAGGGGAGTGATCTGTGCAGGTCCCCTTGGATGTCCAGGGTCTGACTCAGAACTCTAACCACTGCCCTTGGGGATAAAGGGTGTAGGAGCCATAAGATTAGGCTCAGAGCACATGGGCTGCCTGTGACAACGTTTTCGCAAGTCCTCAGTAAAATGAAAAAAATTAGGATAAGATCACTAACTTTGCTTTTGTGGAAAAGACTTCCCTTTGAGTTTATGCTCTTACCCTGAGGTAGTAAAAATGACCTTGTTTTTATTAAAGGACTATGATAGTTTATGATAATCCTGTGTTGGTCCTTAACATTAAAACACTTTCTATTACTAATGTGTGAAAAGAAAGAAACAACAGGGTGGAGAATAGAAGAAAATAAAGACGCAGCTCATTCATTCAGTAAATATTCAGTGTTTGTTATCACAGGGCACAGAATGCACATGGTTTCTGCCGTCATGTTGCTCACTGTCACATGGGGATGACAAGTAACAAACAAGCGGGCACATGACTGTACAATGCGGTTTGCACCATGAGTGAGCTTTTAACAGGAGAGTGCTGTGAGGCGGAACAGAGGGACTGATGCGGGGACTTATTCGCAATCGGGTGGTCAGGGAAGACCACAGGGTGAGAAGCCAGTTTACAGAAAGTGAGCAGGGCAGAGAAGGGGTCATGCAAAGGGACAGCTTGGTAAACACTTGAGCGTGGCGAAGATTTTGGCAAGTCTGAGGACCAGAAAACAGCCAGCCTGGTAGAAGGACTGGGCAAGGAGGTGAGTCTAGAAGAGGAGGCTGAGAGGCGAGTTGGAGTCCGGCCCCTGTAGGTCTTACTGGCCATGGTGAAAAGCTCTTGGATTTTATTTTAGAGCAAAGAGAAGCCACTGAAGGGTTTTCAGCAAGGGAATGAAACGGCCCAGTTTTTATTTTGAGTGTATCATCTCTGCCTGCTGTACAAAGAATGGAAAAGAGAAACTCAAGGGGGTCACAGGGGCCACGGATATTTCAGGTGAGAGGCAAAGCAGTGGAGATGGGAGAACTGGCAGACTCAAGACCTCCCTGGAGAAGGTTGTGTTCTGCTTGTCAAGCAAACACACACGAGGCACACACACATGTAACCATAGACACGCGAATACATGCAGACACATGCAGGTATACACACGCATACACATATACTCACACACATGTGCACTTGCGCACACACACGCACACACATGCGTGCTCATGCACACATGCACACATGCACACACACTAAACGAATCAGGTTATCTGGCAAGTGTTGTAAAGTCATATGTTCGGACACAGATTTTTGGAGAGAAGAGCTGGGAACACTCCCGGGCCCTCCCACTCCCTCTCCAGTTCTCATCCTCGGGCTTTACCTGGGGTCTGCAGCTGGCTGCTGTGCTTGCTCCCCAGGTCAACCATGCTCAGAGGAATCTCCCAGGTCCTGCCCCCACTTTCCCCAACCAATCCTACCAAAGCTCCTCAGTTTGGATATGACCATCTCTGAAGAAAACACACATCTGGGAAGCAGCTGCCTGGCCACTCTCACAAAATCATCTCCGTCTAATCCAGTTGAAGCTGGAATGGAGAGGAGGCGTGGAAAACTAAGGGAAAACATGAAGCCTGTCCAAGATGGGATCTGGGTAGAGTGTCAGAGCACCACCCCAAATCTTTGGAAACATGCCTCCAGGGTGGCCATTGGGATTTCAACTGGCCTTTGTGCTTCCTTCTGATCCCTCCAGGACCAGATGTGTCCCACAGCTGTGTACCATCTGCTACCCTCCACCCCAGAGGAAGCTACAGTTTGGAGGTTAAAGAAGTGAGAGAGGAGACACTCTGCCTTGGGTCTGGAGGGCAACTTGTGGCTATAAGGAGTCTAGACTTCCCACCAAGTAGGCCAATGGCCTGGCATCTGTCTGCAGAGTGAGTGGCTCCCCCAAAACTCTCCTGTCATGGAAAGAATTTTCAAAGAAAACTCAACATCCTGAACCTTTCAAAGTCCTTCCCTACTAAATGTTTCACAGTCTCTAGCTTAGAAACGTCATCTTTCCTATTTACTCCACTCCCTGCTCCTTTCCCTTCCTCCACACCCCAAACACTTGTACCCTGGTTCCCAACCTGGGTCATCAGGAGTCCGACAGCATCTAGCCAAGCTGACATGTAATCTTCCCCAAAGGAGGAGAGCTGTGCTCCCATCCAGCGGATGATGTTATCGGCCACCTCCCTGAGCTCAGAAGTTTGGTGCAGCCCAGACATATGGATCTTTTTAGAGACTCATGAAATTTGGCAGCCCTGTTTCACACCCTCCAAATCCTGCTGCTCTGACACTGCTTTGCTGGGAGTGCACCAGGAGAGGGAAGGAGTGGGTCCGCGTGGGCTCTTTCTTCTCTCTTCCCTTGTCATTTCTCCTGGCAACTCTCACTCAATCTGGAAAACAAAAGTCATTTCTCTGTTGGCCCAGTCTTTGGCTGAAACATGAAGTGAGGGAGAGGGAGGGACAGAGAGAAATAGGAGTAAGAAAGAACACAGAACTATTCTGGCCAGTTTGCCAAGACAAAGACAGGAGCCCCTCAACCAACCACACCCTCCACCGGGCCCCTCCTCTTCTTCTCTACCTCCAGCCACTCGAGGGGGAGCCATTCACAAGCCCAGCGTCTGTGTGAATCTGCTGCTGGGCCTTGCAGTGCACAGCCTGAGCTCTGCTGGCTGCAACCCTGCCACCCCCTTCAGGTTGGTAATCCACCCTGAGCCCTGTGTGCTCAGAGCTGATGGGAAATGCCTCTGCTGAGGCTCAGAGAAGTCTCAGAAACATTGCTGGGTCACACGTGCCCCCTTTCCTCCCAGCCAGACACACGGGAGGCTGGCATGTCTTGGAGGAAAGGACACTTTCTTCTGCCCCTGAAGAATCACTGCTCAGAGACCAGCAGCCAGAACTGTAAGGGGAGTGTCTGGAGTTCAGAGGCCCTTTTGTCCCCTCACGAGGCATCTGGTGACCCCCAACTAGGGAGTCTGCAAAATTTAAACCCTAAAGGGTGGTGCCATCTTGGAAGAAGATGCTAAACTAGGAGGGGTTCAAAACTTCGTAGGAATTGGCTGTCCTTGAACCTTCCCCCACCCTGTGCTTCTTAGCGGTCTCTCCCAGGCCCCAGGTCCAACCCAGAAGATAAGTGGGGGAAACAAAAAGTGAGGAACACTTTGCTGTTTTCTTCCAGAACCAGGCCTGGACAAACCTTCTTGGTTTATTTTTGATGGTTTCAAGACAGAGGAGACCTCTACACAAAGCACAAGAGTCAATAGCTTGGGACAGATGTTTCCTTTCCAGCCACATTTTCCTGCCCCAAGTTAAAAATAGCCACCCTCTTTGCTTTGACTTCTATAAAATGTATGTCATGAAGCTCTGCATTTGCGTTACCAGAGACAAAGACTGATAGGCCCCAGGATTTTACAGCCTGTTGGCCCATGAATTAGATGCAGTATCAGGTACAAGATGATCCAGACCCTTGAGGCAGATTCCGGGACCCTCTAATGAGGGAAATTGCTTCCCTACACCTACCTTCAGGTAGTACCAGAGAGAGCGTTTCGAAGTGAGGAAGGGCCGTTTGTCAAGTAGATCCACTTTTGTTTCTCTGAATAAATCCTTCATCTTGGAATTTTCTTGAATCAATTATTCCTCTGGCCCCAGGGCAGCCTGGACCCCCTTTGCTGCTGTGGCTCTAATGGAAATATAAATGCTGACTGGTAGCACTCATGAGCAATGCTGAGATAGGCCTGCACCGTCAGGAAGGTTTATTAAAAGCCTAGAAAAGACACAAGGGAAACGAGCAGGGACAATACCAGAAGTACTGACACACTCTCCTTCACAAACAATGGACTTCTGACCCATCCTCAGGGCTGCTTCCCGAGCTGCCCTCCCGGCTGGCTGGTCACCCTCTAGCCGAGCGGCTCCAGCCATCACACCACTGGCCCCACAGGCAGCCCAGGCCCTGACAGATCTAAAGAAAAGAACCACAATAACTACTCGTCGCCACATCTCTTTCCTTCCAAATGAACATAGCATGATTTATTTTGTTTGTTTGTAAAAGTAATACACAGATATTGTTAAAAAAAAAAATCTGTAATGGACATGACTTATGCAGAAGTGAACAAGCAAGGGAACTGTGCCCATGACTCCACCACCCGGAGGTGATCACTGTGAGTGTAGGTGATGCTTATTACCACGTCAAACGAGACCTTTTCCCCCTTCCCACAGCAAAACAGCATCAAACTGTCACGTTTTTCCCCACTCACATGTCATGTCACCAGTCCTCAGTAGCTGTAGTGATGCACAGGAAAGCTGTGGATGGTGTGCTGATCTAGCTGAGACGCCACGCCTCTCTCTCTTACTCAGAAGCCGGTCCCTTAGGAGGCAAAACCGGGATTGTCAACCTGGGCCAGTGTTTGAAGGGTGGGGGACACGAGGCATTGCACGTTCTGCCTCTTTTCTGAACATCATTACATTTTTGTCTTTAATGACATCCCAAGGGGCCTATGAAAGATGCCAGCAGATTATCTTGGGCGGTTGCACTTATGATCAGCCCAAGCTCACTCCCTTCTAAGAAACTGCCCCACCCGCCCAAGGGCAAGAGAAGAAAGTTATCCCAATACAAGAATCATCTCAACCCATTTGAAGTTACATACATGCATATTTTAATATATATACATATGTGTACATCTATAATTTAAAAACTTCTGTAACTTAAATTTTTATGACAAATTAAGGCAAATTATTCACAAACAAGTAATGGTATGGATGAAAAAAGGGGCAGACTAGATAAAGCATAAACTAATGAGACAAAAGGAATTTTATCAACAACAATTTTATAAACAAGTCACTTCCTAGGAAAATAACAATGTTTACTCAAAAGGAAGTTTTTTTAAAACAGAGGTCTTAGAACAATTACAAAAAATGAAAACAATATGTTAACAGTCCCACACTAAATGCCAGGCTCCAATGACTTCATAGGCAAGTTCTAACAAAACTTTAAGGAAGTGATCATCTCAATCCTATAAAAGCTCTTCCTAAAAATGAAACAGGAGGGAAATACTCTCCAAGACATTTTATATAAAGACTTTATAACCCAATACCCAAATCAGACAACGACACAATGGTGAAGGGAAAAATACAAGTCCATTTCATTTATGAATATAGAAGCAATAATCATAGGTAGAAGATTGTATTAGCAAATTAAATTCTACAGTGCATAAAAGTGATCATAAATCAAGGCAGAGTTGGGTTTAATGCAAAGTTCGTTTAATGTTAGCAAAATCTATAAATGCAATTCACTGCACTACCATATTAAAGGAGAAAAACCGTATATCATTCCAATAGATATAGATAAGACCTTTAAAAATCATGTTTATCATTAAAGAAAGAAACCTTTTAGTAAATTAGGAGTAGAAGGAAATTTCTTTAGGATGACAAAAGGCACATATAAAAATTAAGCAATTGTAGTCCTAAGTAAGGAAACATTTGAATATTAACCTTTAAAATCTGGAATGAGGCAAGGTCCTGTAGGACCCTCACGTCTTTCATCCCTGTAGTGGATGTTCTTGCCAGTATATTAACTTAAAAAAATAATTCAGAGGCAGAAGGGCTGGAAAGAAAAAATAAAATCATCACTATTTGCAGTTGCTGTGCTCATTTACATAGAAACCCCAAAGAATCTATACATACTGAGAAATAATAGAATTTAACAAGGTAGCTCAATAAGATTAAATAAAGCAATACATTACATTTTCATACACCAGCAACAAAAATAATTAAAAAGAAGATACTATTTACAATAGCATTAGAGGATATCAATTACCTAGAAATGAATCTAACAAAAAATGAATTAAAAGCACTCCAGGGAAAATGGTAAACTTTAAAGAAGACCCAAACAGTGGAGGCCTATGCCAAGTTGACTGAAAGAAAGATTCAGTTATCTCTAGATTAATCTACCGAGAAAATTTTAGCAAAATCTAAAAGGATATTTTGGGGAGGAAATTGATATGCAGATTCTAACATATATGGATAAGTAGAGTAAAGAAGAGCCAAGCCCCTTTCCTGAAGGGAATGAGAGTCTTCATGTGCTCCACCCATATCAGGACTTATCTGAAGCTGCAGTAATTAAGACAATGATAAAGGCCTTGGGGTACACACAGTGTGCAATGGGTAGAGAGCCCAGAAACGGTCACACGGAGGTACAAAATGTTGGCCTGTGGCAAAAATGGCATTTCAGATCAGTGGGGAAGAGACAGACTACTGAGTAAACAGAGCTGGGAAAGTGGTTACATCTGTATGAAAAATATATGAAACTGGATCAGGTGTAGTTATAAATAACTAGCATCTCTCAGTCCCAACCCCACACTTCTACACTGCTCTCTATAATGCTGGGTGTAATGTGTGTTTGCTCTATTGTGTGAGAATATTCAATTTTGCCACAGAGGACAGGCAAAGCAAACAGGATGGGTGAAATTCATCAGCTGCACTAACTGCAGACGATAGGTAAATAAGTCGCTTGAGAGACACAGGCAGAATTCAGATGTGCTAAAAACAGGTAGCAAGTTTGTAATCTGTTAGACATGTAAGAATAGAGTCAATGGAATATATATTATAGCAAGAATGGAGCAAACAAGAGTGTTTCTTATGGGTAAGAAAGAATGGGGAAATCAAGTCATAGGTATAGTGCACACCAGGACAGGGCTGACAGCCAGATCATCCCTAAGTTTTCTACCTATTGGTGATGCCATTCTGTCCTCTGTCTTCTCCGTCCCAGAAATACTGACAAAAGGGATGGCTGCCCAGAACACCAATGAGCTGTGTGAGCAGACCTGTGGCCGGGCCTCCTTGCCCTCATGTCTCCCAACGGAGCAAGTTTACGTTGGTTCCAAGCATCTTCCATCTATTGACCCCTCATTTAACTTCAATTCTGTCCTCACGACTACACCATCAGAGCATAACACAAGACTCCAGCAGAGCGGTCCTTTCCCCTTCCTTGCACCCTTCTTAAGTGGGTTAACCCTCCCCAACTCTTTCCTCTTGGTTCTGGCTGTGTGTTTTAAAAAGACTCCATGATCTTTGTGATTTGATCAGCATGTTTTGGTTTGAGCCTTGTTGGTCTGTGGCCTCTACAGCCTGCCTATAGTGTACTTGGAGACTACCACTGCATGGAGCTAATTTCTCACAGGACACTGGGGCTGGGAACCTACACCTCTCATTTCCCAGACTCTTTTGTCTGCTGGTTTCCGGTTAGGTTCTGGCAAAAGGAGGCACTAGAGAGAGTTTGGAAGTCAGGAAGAGGGGAGAAGGGACTCAGTTCTGACTTCAAATTCTCCTTGACTCCCTCTAGCATCTGAACATCTCTGCCGCCAAAGACCCCTCGCTGCCAAACTGGGATCCAAATCCTGAGAGCTTTCAAAGACCCAAAACAAGTTTGCAACACGGGCAAAAAGTCTTGGTTCCTAAATAGGAACTTGAAAAATCAACATGAACAAAAGTTTTATTAAATGCTTACAAAAGGTAAACTTAGCCAACTTGTAAACTGCAATTCAACTCTTAAACAGTTTTATATAAATGCAATAAAGTTTGAATTATAAGAACAAAATGAAAAATATATTTTAAAACTCAAAAAAGTTTAAATCATTTCCCTTAATGTTTTTTACATCAAAGAAGTTATATTTAACGTAGGATGAGGGTCTATTTAAAATTGGTCCATATGACGTGTGTGTTTTGGGGTTGGGGCGGGGGGATGTTCAATGGTAAGAGTGGTCATGACCTGGAGGTCTATAAAGAGCCTGAAAGAGCCTCTCACTCTCTATATTTCTGTTACTATCCGCCATGTGCAGTGTAGTTAACCACTTATTCTGGCAACAGCTTATGTAATGAAGTAGGAAAGCAGAGACTTTGAGGATCAGCCAAGAAAGGCTAGAGCTTTGAAGAGACTTGCTAATTCAACTCTATATGCCCTATGAGGAAATATAAGGCTGGAGTCCCAGGGTGGACTTATGTCCAGTGGCCAAAACCTGAGTTCGTGGGTGGTTGTGTTACCAGCGATGTTGGCTCTTGGTTCTTGAGTTTAGTAAAGAAAGAATTCAGAGTCAAGAATTTTAGCCCAGGAGGAAGTTTACTTAGAGTGCAAAATGAAAGTGTACTCAAAGAGAAGAGTTGAGTGAGCTGCTCAGAGAGCTGCCTTGGCCTTTTAGAGAGAGTCACAGAAGCAGAAGAAGTGAGCCAACTGGGCTGCGTGGACTCAAGAAACAAGTTACAGAGGCAAAAAAAAAAAAAAAAAGGACACTTAGGGCTTGGGAGAAAGAAAGCAAAGGTACACACTTGAAGAAGGAAGGTGTGAGTATGCTCCAGAGAGAGAGCACGCACTGGGCCCTGTGTCTTAAGGGTTTTTATGTTTTCTAAAAGCAAGACTTTTAAGGGAGGTCTCAGCGGAGGGTCACAATACAATATTCATCAGATTTCTAGATGTGTCCTTTCATGGTCGTGGTCTCTACTGATTGGTTGGTGGGGCTAGAGTAGGGGATCATTGGTCATTGCATCTGGTCCTAATGTCAGCCTTGACATCCTGGCTTTGCTGCTTTTCTGGGCCTGGAGCTGAAACACAACTGAGGCCTAGATGTTATCTCTAGTTTGACCAAAACTCTATCTCTGTGGTCAACAGACCTGAGGCTTTGCTCTTAAGATTATCTGATGCGCCTGAGAACCTCACTGTCCTGAGGGTTTGTTGCTTAAGGGAGTGGTCCTGCAAGGGAGGGGGAGGCAGGCGAGTAAAGGTACTGGATAAGGTCAGTTTGAATGAGCGCTCTGTCTCAGTTTCCCCATTCCACTTGCCAAGGAATTTGCCTGGCTTCTTACTATCCTGCCTCAGTTGGGGATAGGTTTTGTGTGCTTAGAGTGATGAGTCCCAGGCACCCTAGTAAATAAGCAGAGTAACCAGTTATCACCAGTGTCATAGTTCTGGTGTCATCCATAGCGTGCAGGCCAGAGAACAACAGCTCTAGCTGTGAGAGGAAGAGATTTGTCAGCCTCCTATGCCCCCAACTCCTATTTTCCCTCCCTGAAGTCTAACCTCCACTTTGTACCTAGCGTGTCTTCTTTCTGTGCCAGGGCTTCTGAAACTTGAGTCTGCATGAGAATCACAGAGAGTACCTATTAAAAGTGCAGATTCCCAGAACGTCCCCTTGATTCTGTGCACTCCATGCTTTGAGGAGTTCTGCTCAGTAGGATCATTCTCTATGCCCTTTGTCCCCAAAGCTGGTTCAGAAATTTGGAAGCTAGAGACAAATTCTTTCCTGCTTTCCTTGGTCCAGCTAGGGAAGACAAATGGCATTGGAAGTAACCAGAAGAAAGTACTGAGAATGTAGGAAGAGCCAAGTGGACCAAACTGGTTTTCAGTGTGAAGCAGACCCCGCTCCTGGAACTGAGAGTTGAGTGTGTATGTGTGGGGTGGGTTTTGTTTTTTGTTTTTTGTAGGGGAGGGGGCGCTAAATTGGGAGCCCCAAGGACAAAGGCCTGATTTAAAAACTCCTGATTTAAAAACGTATTTTGCAGCTCTTTCTGCCCCCAGCTGCAGGCCCTTGAGATCGAAATGTGGTCAGACTGGAATCACCATTTGCACTTTGAAACAGATTCACACCTTACCGTTGCCTCCTCTCAAATTTGCATCTTAAATCTTGGGTTTTATGATGTAGTTAAAGTCTTTGTTTCCTATTTAAATAAAAGTTGAGGAACAGGATCAGAATAGGGAGTTTTGGGATTTGTTTTTGGACCTGGACACCCTTCTCCTGTGAAAACCAAATTTACTGTAAGCCAGTGAAGGACCATAAAGATAAACCTACTTTCATAATGTGAGGGGGTCTTCGGAGAAGTAAATCAAAAAGGATCAGAGGGAGCTGGTCTGGTGTCCCCCCCTCCCCCCCCTTTCAGGCTACGTGGTGCAGACATCATGAAAGAGACTGGCCTGGGTGTTTGTAATCCTGCGATTCCACTCCGGATCTCCGGGCATGTCCTTCCAGGCTGCGCCTTATCTCGTCCCCTCCCTGCTGCTCTCATCTGCTCCTCCTGGCTCCTGGCTCCTCCAGCCTCTCCCTCCGAAGTCCAATCTGTGACTAGGCTGTCTGCCCAGCTCAGTTTCTGCAGTTCCGTTTACCAACATCCAGAACAACCAGTGAGGGAGAGGGAGCTCCAGGAGCAACCAGGTAGTAGAGGAGGGAGTCAGGGGAAGTCCTATGTCTGATGCGAGAGCAGGATGAAGCCCTCGAGTCTGGGGCCCGGGGCTGGACCGGGGATGCCTGGAGAGAGGCACCCAGGTACTAAGGGAGTCCTTTGTCTTCATGATGATGGTGACCCGCCGGGATCTAATCAAGTGGGGAAAATAGGGCTGGTCCCAGGAAACACCCTTTTAAATGCACACAAATAGACCTTGCAGGAAAGAAAGAAAAATGAAAAGGAAAATCCACAAGGATGGTTTGGGGGGGGGGGG